TGGATGGATGGATGGATGGATGGATGGATGGATGGGTAGATAGATGGGCAGATGGATGCATGGGTGGGTGGGTGGGTGGGTGGATGGAGCAATGAATGGATAGATAGATGGGTAGATACATGGATGGGTGGATGGATGGATGGATGGATGGATAAGTGGTTGGGTGTATGGGTGAATGGATGCATGGGTGGATGGATGATGGATGGATAGATGGGTAGATGGATGGAGGAGTGGATGGATGGATGAGTGGATGATATATGGATGGGTGGGTGTGAAAGAAGACAGCATGATGTATGAGCCAGAAGACGAGAAGGAATGGTGGCAGAGTGGGTGGGTGATGGCTGCACACACACAGGAGGGGCATGAGGTGGCTGTCTGATCACACTGGGAGATGGGCTGTGGCCTATGCTGGGTTGACACTGGCCATACCTCCACTGCCTGGCCGGCCTGAGTGAGAGAGAATGCTGAGCCGCTTTTCCAGCTGCAAGGCTTCCAGCGCCTCCTGGGCCAACCGCTCCTCCACAGCCAAGGGCCCGCCCGGGCTCGGGTCTGCAGCAAAGAGAAAGGTGTGAGGCTCTGCTGCCTCCAACCCAGTTCCCACACTGCTGACTCCACAGCGCATCCAGCTGATTCAGAGCCTCAGGCATCCTGGGCCAACCTCAACACAGGGCTTCCCATGACCCGGATCCTCCCCAGGGCTCAGCAAGAGGCTGTAACCTTGCTCAGGATCCTGGAGCAGCCCCCATGCAGGCCCCTCATTGCTGAGCCTGGGCTCTGCTAAAGGAACCTCTTAAGCTGGACACCACACACACACACACCCCAAGGGACACTGCCTGCCAAGCCTCACAGGACACCTAAGGCTCCTACGTTGGGGCTGCTGACCCCAGGCTACCCTTATCAAGTCTGCCATCCAGGGAATGCACAGCCTCTCTGGTCACTGCCCACGCTGGTCGGTGTCTTCTGCTTCCCCCAGCACCTACTGCCCCATGCCATAATTTTGTGGGTCACAAAGCATGGAGGGCCGTGCTTGTGCCTACAGCCACAAGACAAGACAGCGCCAGCAGGGGGCGCTGCCACACTAGCCTCAGAGCCCGGCCACAGGAGGGCTCCAGCCTGGGAGCTGCCTCCTCCCTCCCGGGGGCTGCACCATGTGAAGCTTCTGGGCTGGATGACAAGTGTGCCCATGGAGGGGCTTGCCTGCCTTGGGAGCAGTACAGCTTGCACCCTGAACTCCCAGGCTGCACGCAGGCAGCAGGGCAAGCTCTGTCCTCCCAGGGATGAGACTGTCCTCCCCATCAGATTGTCCACACCCAGCCCTGTCCTGGACGTGCCAGAACCCCAGGGCCCTGCCCTGCCTGAGCCTTCAGTCCCTGGGCTGTATGGGTCCAGTGATGTCCGTGGCCACTCCTAGAGCATGGTGCCCAGACATTTTCCGGGGTGCCTTGTGCCCACCTGGACGCACCCCAGACAGCACACACCAGAAACAGAGGTCCTGAGCCCAGCTGTGAGACAGACCAGGAACATCCAGGGGACAGGGAGTTCCCACAGGCTCCTCTGTGCCCATCGGCACAGTTATGGTAAAACTATCCCCATAGAAGGTGCCAGGCCCTAAAGTGCCCAGAGAAGCCCCAGGCTGCCTGGCAGTGTGGTGGTCCTGACCACAGCCCCAGACCATAGGCTCAGTCTGTGAACCACAGGCAGGAACAGGCAGCCACCTAGTTAGACAGATGATTGCAAGTGGCCCTCAGGCCTTGGCCACTGTGTGGGCCCACCAAATACCCCCACCCACCTGGGCCAACCTAGCCAGGCCCCACACACACCTGGGAGAACTGGCCGCAGCCCAAAGGGGCCCTTGGTTGGTGAGATGCCACGGACGATACAGTCAAACAGGAAGCTGATCTGCTCCCCCTCAGCTGAGGACAGGAAGAAGACGCCAGCCCCTGCAAAGGGAGGAGAAGGATGCAGGGTCAGCCTGGCCTCAGCATGGCGGGGGGACTACTGCAGAGTAGGCATGGGTTTGAGGGGTGTGTGAAACCTGACCAAATTCTGCAGGACCCTCTCACCTGGTCAAGGACGCTGTGGCCTCAGAGCCCGGGACTTAATCGCTGTAACCCGAGGGATGCCACTGCATGTGTCAGCAACTGGGCACTAGGCACAGCACCCCCCAACTGCCTGTTGGGGTTCCACCTGCCCCCAAGGCACAAGGCTGATTCCATTCCTTCTGCAATGCCTGTAAATGTGGCCCTGTCCCGTGGTACACCTTCAGGCCGGAACAGTGTCTTTGTCAATGAGGGGGCCCTGAAGTGACTCCCTGGAGCAAGAAGCTAAGCCTCCACCAAGACAGGGTTCCTAACCTCCTTGGGGACAACACACTCTGCCACCAGGCAGTTATGTGATCTCACCGGCCCTCTGGGCCTCAGTTTCCACATCTGTACCAGCAATCCCTCCATAGGGCTGCTCCAGGCAGAGGGAGCATGTCAGGGCTCAGGTCACAGGACATGGCTTGTCACAGTGGGTGGCCCCATCCGGAGCTCCTGAGGGGGCCAGCTCTGCCCTCAGCCCACCTCAGAGGGGCACCCTTCTGTGACAGGCTGCTGAGGCAGGAGCGGTCCGGCAGGAGTGGTCCGTCCACACTGAGGAGCGAGTCAGCAGGGAGGGCCCAGCCTTGCCACAGTGAATGAAATCCCTTGCTGGCCGGTGAATGGGGAGGCAGGCCGGCTCGCCCACCTGCTGAGCCGGGCATGCGGGCCAGAGGCTCTGGTGGCGTCACCGCCCAAGAATCCCTCTCCTCCTGGTCTCTGCCCTTGCCCAAAGAAAGGCACGCGGCGGCGGCCGCACGCAGGGCCCTCGCACGTGGCCGCGGGGTGGGGGCTGGGCCGGAAGGGGCGCGGATCAAGGCGCTGCTCCGCGCTAAGGCCCTGCCTCTGGGCGCATCTGCCCCCCAGGCGGGCGCGGGGCTGCTGGCTAGCCCGCGTGTGGCCGGCCACCCTAGGGCGCACAGGGCAGGGCCATACCTGTGACAGTGGACATTTCATCCACGTGATGCCCTAAGCTAGGTGACAAAACAGTGTCAGTCTAGCTTTAGAGAGGAGAAAGTGAGGCCCAAGGAGGGCAAACTCTGGTACAGAGCAGCACAGGCAGGAAGTGGACTCAGGCCTAGGCCTCAGTGCCTAGGAGTGCTCAGCCTGGCCCTGGAGCTTTAGGGAGGAGGTGGTGGCATGGGGAGGAGGCAGACACCTGCCTTGGTGTCGCCTCACAGGACCCCAAGAGGCTCGTGCGCACCCCAGCCCTGGGGGGTGGGGCCGTCCAAGAAGGCCAGGTAAGCCAGGTGCCAGGGCGCATGAAGCATTTCATGGAGGCTTTTGGTGCCTGCTGGCCACCCCGAGGGCCAGGGCCCAGCCTTCCAGCTCCAGCGCTCACAAAAGGCCAGGCCTCTAATCCTGTGCTTACAGACAGCTGGCAGAGGCTGTGGGACAATCAGTCCCCCAACTATAAAAAACCACTGAGCAGGGAGTGGATGGCCCTGCATTCCGCCAGGACGTCTGCGGAGGGTCACACTCCCCGGGGACGCGCAGCAGGGCGGAGCTGGGAGCTGGTGACCTGCATCCTAGGCTCCAGGCGTCCCTCTGGCATCCCTGCCACCCGCCGGCCCCCGCTGGACCCCATCTCAGCACAAGGGACAAGGCCTCCCAGGACCCAGCACCGGGTCCTCACCACCCTGCAGGACCCCTCTCTCCTGCACCCCAGGAGACTCAGGCTCTGGATGCCTGCAACTCCGCACACGCCCAACCCGCAATCTCCTCCTGGACATGGGCCCCATCGCCTCCACAGCCGCCACCTGGGCTGTCCACCAGCTTCCAGGATGCAGGCCCTGGGGCGTGGTCTTTAGGACTCCTTCCTGGGCCAACCCTCTCCACCTTGGAAGCTGGTGATCACTGCAGATGTTTTTACGTTCACCTTCTCTGGGGCCTCATACGTCCTACATCTGTGCTGTCCCTTATCTCATGGGTAAGGACCGTGTTAGTGCCCACCTAGTACCTGACCTCAGGGCCAGGTATGCAGTGTGGATGGAGATGCCTCGCCCCTGCCAAAGCACTCTGCGCCCCACTTCCCTGTGTCCCTCTGCAGAAGGGAGGCGGGTGCAGGAGGCCGTGTCTGCTTTTGCTCCAGGCTTGCCTGCCCTGAGGGCCACCTGCCTCAGAGCCAGGGCTGCCCCTCTGGGGTCCACAGCCTGTGGCTGCCTCGGTGAATACACAGTGGCAGGGGTGACACCGCCAGCAGTGGGTGAAGCACAGGGGCCTGCAGGGCCATCATGCTGGAAAGCAAGGGCCTGGAGGGTGGAGACCTCCTGATCGACATCCTGGCTTGGCAGCCTGCCACTCTCCAGCTGCACCACCAGGTGACCCAGTCAAGGCCTGTGGAGCAGACAGGCGGCACAGAGCAGCCCAAACGCTTGACCACAGAAGCGAAAGGGATGAGGCTCCTCGTTACACAGTGACGGACACCGTAAGCATGAAGATAAGGAGCCTGGCTCTGGGGCAAGGAGGAGGATGGCAGCTGCTTGCTGGAAGAGCAGCTTTTGTCCTGGGAAGAGGCGGTGGGGGTGGGGGAAGCGCTCACTCTGCTGCAAGCTCCCTGGAGCCTGGTCAGCCTGGAGGGGCCCTCGGAGGCCGACTTCAAACTGCCTGCAGGGCCTCAAGGCTGCCACTGGGCCCCAAGAACAGACACCACAGTGCCACCTTCTGCTGCAGGCGATCACAGGCCCCTCCAGCAGCCACCACAGTCATAACCACCCCTGGACACACACATGCGTGGGCGCACACTGCCCGACACCTCAGGAGCCACAGCCCTCCAAGGGACGCAGTGCTCTCCTCAGTACCAGCCTGAGACCACTCAGCTGGGCACCGACCACCCTAGCAGGACACCTGCAGCTCCGCTCACCTGGGCTCATCCCCTGCCCAGACCCAGCAGAGGGCCCAAGCTCACACCTTTTTCCACATTTCGACTCTGCCGGGGTCCTGCTCCTGACCATCATCAGAGAGGCAGGCAGCCCCACCCCTCATCCCCTGAGGGGACTGGTATGTCACAGTGCAGGGGTGCAGGGCTGCTGCAGAAAGGGCGAGCAGTGGGAGCTGACACCCAAAGACGCTTTGCTAGAGGCCACCAGGCACGTTGTTCCCACAGGTTGCTAGGGTGTTGAGCCACCCAGGGCCTGAAGGGACTCTAACCCTGGCCAGGGGCCCAGACTCAGGCTGGTCCTCCACACACAGCCAACTCTTCCTGGCATCCCACTAGGGACACAAGGATCCACATGGTAGAGATGAGGAATTGGAGAAAGCACAAGAGAATCTGCAGGCAGCTGAATGTTACCCCTGAAATCCTCCAAAGCCACACAGCTTGGAGGAAGGGGGCACTGTGCTCCAGATTCCAGATCACTTCCCCGCCTAGGGCAAATGGGGTGACAGCTGCAGGCATCCAGGCTCCCAGCAGCTGGCCTGCCTGGTGGCCACCAGCTTGACCATATCCTGCCCAGCAGGGCCTTTGTTCCTGGAGAGGAAGAAGAGCAGCCTTCCACACCAGCCTGGGCACTCAGGACGGAACCTTGCGGGAGGGGAGCAGTAGCCACAGCGCCTCCCACAGCCCCCTCCTCCACCTCAACCACTGCCCCAAACACAGGGCGGCTCACCCCTTGGTCTCCTCCACACAGGGGCAGGTGTGCAGCCTGTGGGCACCAGACAGGACCCACATTGGCTGTCTGGCCCTGAACGCCTCCCTGGACATGGACAGGGACAGATGGCAAATGTCCTGTGGTATAGAGCGGGTGGGTCCCTGGAGGTGGCCCCAGACTTCACCGCAGGCAGTGGAGGCAGGAAGAGCAGCCTCCACCTGAGAGACGCACCGCAGGCGTTGCCCTCGCAGAGGTCACCCTAGATGCCTCCGGCCCAGAGTATCATCCCTGCTGGACCAGAAGGGCGGTCTCGTCCCTGACCTCTGCCACCCTGCTGCTGCTGCATCCATGTACACAGCACTACAGGGCTGGGGCCTCTTGAAAACGCGTGTCCACACCCCACACCACCAGGAACCCCTCCCCACCATGCGTCCTCCTTGCCCTTCTTGGGTTGACAGTCTGGCCTCGCCTCCAGCCACAGCCATGGTTCAGCCTCTCTGGCTGCCCAGCACCTTCCTGGGCCCACATCCACCTCTTCCGGCCATCTGTACCCCAGGACCATAGGCATCGCCCAGACTACAGCAGGTCAGTGCTGGGGCCACCAGCCCATCCCCATCCTGCCTTCTGCCTCCTCTTCCTTGGGGTTCTCACACAGCCTTGCCATCCTTGGAAACATGTGTTTTGGCTTTGCATGTCAGAACCACATGTGGGCCAGCTCCCAAAGTATATCCTTGTCATGTGCCACCAAAGGGCCCTGCCCCTGGCACCCCCAGTAGCCACACTGCTGAGCAGCTGGTGCTGAGGTTGGAGACTGGGCTCGAGAGTGGAAATCAAGCAGCCTCCGCGTCCTGTGCCCTGACCCTGCCCAAGCCCTCACCTCAGGGACCCTCGAAAGAGAAGGCTCTGCTGACCCAGGCTCAGGCTGGGCGCGGTGTTAACCCTGAAGTAATACAACTCAGCGGTGGCCCAGAATCTGTCCACTGCCTGCTGCCTGCTGGACACTTAGCAGCCCATGCCCTGGCCCTCTGGACAGTGCCAGGCTCACATGAAGGCCAAGGAGACCCTAGAGCCCTGTGGTGAGGCGAGCAGCTCTGGGGGTACGGGCTTTCTGCCTCAGTCCACTCTTCCAGAGACTGCCAGAGTCTTCCTGGGACTGACCCAGCCCCAGATGGCCTGCAGCACAGTGTAGGCCCCTGCATGTGATTGCTTGGTGGGGCTGACCGACCTCACTCAGAAGCACTGGGCCAGTCTGGAGTGTCCTCCTGGGCTTCCAGCAGCCCAGGGCAGACACGACAGCTCATTCAGGCCCCTGCCTTCCAGCAGAGTCATGTGTGACACCTAGGACATCCACCCTGGGAAGGGAGCCACACACACAAAAGACTGGGGTGGAGGTCCCCAGAGGGCAATATCCCTCCTGTCCAAGAAGAAATAGACAGGGCTGCACCCCTGGCCTAACATGCTGGGTCATCCGTGGCCTGTGCCTGGGAGCCCTGCAGGGAGAAAGAGGATGCTGGCCCTCTCCCACCTGCTCTGAGTGGCTCCAAAACCCCAGGGCAGTCTCCCCTGCTTGAGTGGGTGGGGCTGGGCCCCTGTCATCCTGCGGTCACCTCTGAAGCCCTTGGTGCAGAGCAGAAGGCCAGGCGCTCACCCAGCTGAGGACTCAGTGCTGTCCCCAGGGTGTTTCCTCTCATCCACCCCAGCCGCACAAGCACACAGGTGGTGAGAGGCTGGGCTTAGCCCATGGGGCAGGCAAGTGGAGGGAGGGGCCGGGGCCGAGCAAGGAGGGGCTGCATGCGTGCGTGTGGGACCCCGGCACACTCACTCGCAGCCTGCACACCGCCAGCCCCTGGGGCCCAGGAGGGGCAGGCCCCAGGAGGCTGTGTGTCTGGGGCAGAGCCGGCGGCCCAGTCCTGTGGCGGCATACTTACAATACCCACATCTGGTCCCGCCTTCGAAAATGAACCCATTGGGCACAGCTCCATAGCGCCGCAGGTCCGACAGCTTCCAGTGCCCCATGACAGCCGGGGGGACATCCCTGGCCAGAACGAGGACATCGTTGCAGAGGTGGAGGGTGGCCGGGCCACTCTCCAGCTTGGTGCCAGGAGCCACTGTCACACGGAACCTGTGCACTGGAGGGCAAACAGGGATCAGCGGGCGTCACAGCTTCTAGTCCTGTGCGACTCTGGCAGCAGAGAGGACACGGGGCATCACGGGTCCCTAGGGGCCCACTTTCTTTGCTCTCTCTTTCAGGAGCCACCTTAATTCAAAGAATTAGGGGGCTGCACGCAGCTACCTCCATCCTGACGGTGCAGCCCCACAGCCTGTGTCGTACTCAGCGCCTGTACTCCAGGCCTGGGACCCATGCTCAGAGCCCTTCCAATTTCACAGCAGGGAAACAGGCTGAGCGTGCCCAGCACCCTGTGAGCACGAGGAGTAAGGTTCTCGCTTCAGCCTGAGTCCGGCTCAGCCTGGCACCAACACACTACTCCAAGGCCACAGGGCACTGAGCCCTGCACCCCTCTTCCCACCCTGGAAGGCAGCCCAGCTCAGGAGGGGACATTACCCCAGTCTGCTGCGCCCACCTGAGGGCCATCTGTGCTCCTTCGCATCAACCCCAGAGCCAGAGGTCCCTAGTTCCAAAGCCACCCACCACCCCTGCCACCTGCAGCCCCATGGGGCCATGCTGGGTCACTCGGGATGTCTGCATAGGGCCTGGGCAGCCCCCTCCCCTGTGACCACCCCTGTCCACTGCATAATGAAAAGGGGGCACCACAGGGCCTGGCCAGAACCCCCACTGGAGAGCCTTCTGGCAAGGAAGGGGTGTCCCCTCGACAGGCACGGCAAGGCTCTGGTCTCCTGTGTGGGAGACAGCAGCCATCACGTCTCAGACGCTGCAGCGCAGACCTTGGGGTGTTACGCACCTTCCCCGAGCGCATAGCGGACGCGGGCGTCCCAGGCACACATGGCCTCGCGGCTGTCGAAGCCCAGCATGACAGCCTGGGACAGGCAGATGATGGCCAGCGTGTGGGCCAGGCCCTCATAGGGCAGGCTGGGCTCCAGACCACAGATGTCCGCCAGGGTCAGGCTGCTGCGCTCCCGGAGGCCCCTGGTACGCTCAGCCCTGTCCTTGTAGACCAGCATCAGCAGGCAGTCTGTGAGGATGGGAGAGGCGGGGCCGTCAGGAGCTGCCACAAACCCGCCCAGGCCCCAGGGCCGGTGTGGGCCTAGCGAGCGAGTGTCCTGTGCTAGGCGCAGGACCTGACTGGCCCGCGGGGCCCTCCTGGATCCTGCCCTGGGAACGCGCTGGGCTGTGAAACTAATACAGCCCCGCCTGAGCTGCTGCCTGTGGCGCCCCACTCTGTCCCCGGCCACCCCACCCAGACTGCTTCTGCTTGGTTTCCAGGGTTGGCCTGAGCTCCAACCCCTGGGGGCAGTGGGGACATCACCGGGCCTCCCAATGCCCCTCTGGCCTGGCCCGCCCTGGCCAGACCCGCAGGTCAGCAGCACAGTCGCTGTGCACCCAGGCCCAGACGCAGCCTGCCTTGCACAGCACAGGTGCTCCCATGTGGCCCCTGGGCACAGGTCCTGGCCCAGGTGGCCACAGAGGATGCTGCCACAGAGAACCTACCTGCCATCCCTCCAGGCAGGGCCAGCCTTGCACACAGAGCTCTTCTAAACCAGGCCACCAGTGGTCAGGGGACCCAGGACCCGCCACCTTTGCTGAGGGTACACGAGTGGGGCCCAACGCAACCCCTATCCACGGGTGCCTGAGGGACAGCCCTGCAGGATGCTCAAGCCGTGGAGCCCCGTTGGCCCACAGGGCAGGGAGGAGAGAGCAGTGGGGCCTGCCAGCTCTCTGCACAGGCCCAGCAAACCAGAGACCAGAATTCAGGTGACCACAATGCACACACCAATTGCACTGCAGAATCCAGCACAGAACCGCACACCTGTTCCCTTCCCAGCCCGGCCCCTCAGACCCAGGCCGGTTGTAGCTCAGCCAGGCTCAGCATGGCCACAGGCAGGTCGCAGGCACCCAAAGCCAGAGGACCGTCTCTGTGTTGCCCGAGAGCAGCCACAGACAGCAGGGAGCAGCAGGGAGCAGCAGGGAGCAGCAGGCACAGCTGTGTACCAGCAAGACTTTGCCAGTGAAGGAGCTGGTGGGATAGCAGACTCAGGCTTCTCCTGAGACTCTGGCAGGGTCTGAATTTTTGTCACCATGAAAGCGCAAAGGCACACCCCACGTGAGGAAGAAAAGAACCAAACACCTATCTGCCACCAGCAGGCCTCTTGCTGCAGCAGAGTTCAAAGGCGGAGCGAGAAGCCAGCTGGGAGAAGTAATCTAATAAGATGGCATAAAAGGAATGTGTCCTTTCAGGAATGTCCTCCCACCATGTCCCCGGAGCACCAAGAAACGAAACCCAAGGGTCAGAGTGGCACAGAAAGGGCATCGCCTGGGCAGCGGAAGCTGCAGAGCAGCAGTGGGTGTGAGCACGGCGGCTACCCTGCCTACCCAAGCCCTTGGCCGTCAGAACCTGGCTAGCTTTCTGTGGTTCTGTGGGTCAGTCAGGTCAGCATGAGTGAAGGACCAGGCTGATGTAGCCAGCGAGGCCAGACCTCTGGCCTCCTGTCACTGCCCAGCCACAGGCTGGGGACGCCTCTGTCCCAGAGATCTCATCACAGTGGGGGCACTCCTGCCAACGACCAGCTTCTGCAGCTGCCTCCTGAGGCCCGCAGTGTGGCCTACGCGCCATCAAGGCTGCCCACGCATGGGCCAGGCACCCCCTCCCCTGCGCCCAGAGCGAGAGGACTTGCACGTGAGAGTCGCTGCCTGCAGGCCCTATCCAAAGACTCCCTCTGCCCTACTCCTCCTGCAGTCCCTGAGTCTGTCCCTGGGGCCCCACAAACACTGGCCACTGCCCTGGACCAGATGTCCAAGCTACCCACTCAGGCCAAGGCCTTGCTGCCTGTGGCCCCTGCCTCTGCAGGGCTCACCCTGGATGCCTCTCTCAGGAGTCCCACTGTCCCCTCACAGCCACCCCTAGCAGCCACGGTGCCCCTCAGGGTGAGTGTCCAGGCTGCTCATTTGTCTGAGCTCCCAAAGGCTGCCCACCTCAGTGATACCCTTGGGCTGTGCAGCCCGGGCTGGACAGCACACAGCCCAGAGGAGGCGCAGACCTCTGTCCAGGAACAGATGGCACCTGCCGTGTAGCCTAGCAGGCCTGGCGGGGAGGTGTGGCCTCCTTTATTCAAGGAGTCACATTCCATTCTATAACCCCAAGCACTCTGCGAGGCTGAGGCAGGAGTACTGTGAATTCAAGGCTTGCCAGCTTGGGCAACTTGGTGAGACTCTGTTAAAGCAAAACTAAAAAGGGCAGGGGCTGCAGCTCAGTGCAGAGCACAGCCTAGCACTTCTGAGGCCCTGGCTTCAACCCCATTGCCGCAAAAGAAGCTGCACCACCAGACTCTGTGGAGAGAGGAACCCCCAGAGTTTCTGTGTTCGCTCCAGATGGGAAGCGATGCCAGCTCGCAGGATCACCGCCTCCAGCGCGACAACTCAACTCAGCAACAGCCAGAGGCGCCACATGTGACCCCTGCAACTACTTCCAATAAAAGCTTATTCAAAGAAAGAGGAAGCGGCTGGAGCTGAGCCTGCGACCAGTTTGCTGGCTCCAGCAGGAGCCGTGAGGTGCTGTGGGCCACGAAGCAGGTCTTCTTCGGCCTGTGCTGCACACCTGTTTGGGGGACTGCATGCAAGGCCCCACATTTGTCCCCAAGACCCTCTCCTGATGCCCCAGTGCCACCTGGCTGATCTCTCTGAACTTGGTCTACAAGTGCAGACTCCACCCACACCTTCCTACATCCATGGATCCCAACAGTGGCCTTAAACTCTGTCCCCTCCTAGTCCTGGGGAACATGAGTGTGGCACTTGGGGAAAGGCAGTGTCAAGCTGTGGGGCTCAAGATGAGCTGGGCCTCAGCTGTCCTGAGCCCACACCCTAACCTCAGGCTTTTGCCCCCACAGGCTTCAACTCAGGATCCGCCCGACTCAGCCTTCTAGTACTGGGTCACTGGATGGGGTATGACTTTTTGAATACAGGAGGCCACATCTCACCAAGCCAGGCCAGCCAGACTGCCTCTAAAGCATCCATCTGTCCCTGGAAAGAAGTCTGATGTAATGACAGGTGTTTTTGTGAGAGGCAGAAGAGGAGAGAGACAGGCAGAGGACAGGTGGACTAGGAGCCAGGGAGTGGAGTGACAAGGCCATAAGCCAAGGACACCTGGAGCCACAGGAGCTGGGAAGCAGAAAGGTCTGCCACAGAGTCCTGCCCACACCTGGACCGCACACTCTACCGCTAAGACCTCTGGGTTGTGTCGCTGCCTGACTCTCCAAAAGCCCCGGGAAACCAGCACTGGGGTGTTTTCAGTAAAGATGGAGCCAGGGGAGGCCCCGCAAGCGAGGGAAGCAGCAGGCCTCTTCCCAGCTGGCCAGTTGTAGGGAGGTGCCCTGCACATGACCAGTTTCCTTGGACACCAATGGCTAGGGACAGGGCATAGGAGGGACACAGAACCCGCACCCTGGCCCTTCTACCCCTCCTGGAGGCTGGGTCACCTGCCAGGCGCTCCCTGAGTGGCTGATGAGATCCACGGTCACCTTCCTGTCCAGCACCAGCCACAGGGCTCAGTCTACAGCTGGGACCCCCACTTCAGACTCAGGGTGCGGGTGGCATGTGGCTGAGAAGAGGACACTGGGGTTACAGGTGGAAGGGGACCAAGGACAAAGTGAAGGCCAGGAAGGCCATTCCTGTTCACAGACATTTGTGCCCACCATCGTGTGCAGGCCCAGGTGTGCACCCCACAGAGGGCTAGGGTCTGAGTGCTGCTGGGACACGCGTCAGCTGGGGGCCTTTGGGCCACGACAGGGGTGTGGGGGGCACAAGGGCATTAGTTTCCTCACAAGGGGACCCTGGGAGCTGCTGGCCTTGCTGTAAGGACACAGAGGGTGCTTATAAAGCACGCTGACCTGGTACACACACTCATGCACAACTGGTCACACGCATGTGTATGTGTGCAACCTGCACGCGAAGGCCCCAGTGAGTGCACAGCCAGGCCCCCACCCCTCCTCTGCCTTCCGCCACTGTGCGCAAGCTACCCACCCCTGAGAAGCGGGAGCCGAGAAGCGGCCCAGGAGCCCAGCACGTGCCTGTGGCAGACGCCTGAGTGAGCGCGTGGCCCATGCAGGTCGGGGTGGCCGGTGGGCCAGCTGTCCAGGGTTACCCTAGCAGGCTCAGAGTGCACCCCACAACCCCACCCCCCGAGGAGGCCAGCAGTGCAGAGTATATGAAGGAAGACAAGGAGCCAGGGCCAGGGCCTGCCAGCCCTCGAGAGAATGAGGACCCCAGGGCTCTGCGGGCCCCCACCCTGGTGCCCATCCCCACTCATCCCAGAATGCTGCTGCTGTACTCCTAGAAGTGTGGGACATCGGGATGCCCATCAGCACAGTGACTGCCCCATGGTAGGGCAGGTATCACCGGGAAGCGAGGCTGGGGCGTCTCCAGAGGAGGCCATTGCAGCCTGCATGGGGACACACTGTCACTGTGGGCACAGCCAGTGCAGAGGGCCCAGGTGGGGCTCAGGTGACCTTGGAGCCCTGGGCGCAGGCCTGGCTGCCTCCAAAACCCACCCTGGCTGCAGCATGGACGGCAGAGGCACCCACCCTGTGCAGCAGGAAGAGCAGACCTGCCCCAGCGCCCCGTGTAGCACAGGGGCCAAGGCGGCACAGGAGCCGGCCCTCACACTTGGCCCCCAGCAGCCTGGAAGCTGTGAAGGGTGAGCTGCATAGGCTAGGTGGGCTGGGCCAGGGCAAGAGGTGGGACAGCCCAGGGACACAGAGCTGGGCCGCAGCAGGCAGCTGGACCAGCACTGGGGATGTAAAAATAACTGTGGAGTCATGAGCTCCAGATGCCGTCAGAGCCAGGGCTGAGGGTGGCCGGGGAGGAGGGAGGACAGATGGACGGACGAAGAAGGCCTGGAGGCTGAGGAGGAGGAGGAGCAGCCATGCTGCCCAGCAACACCGGGGCTGGTCCCCTGGAGGTCACAGTGGCCTTGAGGCAGCATCCCAGGGTCCCGGGGGGACCTTGCTGAGCCCAGGACACAGCACTTCAGGAGAGCCCGGCTCTGGGCCCGCCTGCCCATGACTGACAGGAAGAAAACACTCCACGCCCCACGCCACTGCCTGGCACAGGTCACCCCAAGCCACCCCAGAACAAAGACAAGTACATGGTGGCAAGGCTCAGTGTGCTGCCCACTCAGCACCCCCAAGAGCCCCAGCAGTGTCCAGGCAGGGTCCGGCTGGCCCTGGCGAGAGCATGTGGCTCTGGCACACTGTACTCAGGTTCCCTGGCCTTCAGGGCTGCACCCTATACTGTAGTGTCACCATGGGGAGAGGAGAACCAGCCATCACCCCAGCCTATCCTCAGTGGGGGACAAAAGTGTCACCCCACCCCATAGAGGAGGAGGCAGCAGAGGTGCAGATGATGCGAAGCCTTTGCCAGCTGTGGAGGGGATGTGGGCACGACCCTGAAGCACATCTTCCCAGGGCACTTGCTGTCTTAGCAGAGCCACCCACAGTTGGGACCGGTCCCAGGGCCACAGGCTGCTTCAGGCACCCCAGGGGCTGCAGGACATGGCCTCAAGCCCCCCCTGTCTTGGCGGCGGGCTCCAGGCCTTTGCTACTGCCGTGACCACATGGACAGGTGTTCTCCTGCAGGCCGGGCTCCTGGAGTGTCTCTGAGGAGTGACAACAGGCTGGGACTCAGGAAACTGAAAAATCCCTCCATCCCAGTCTGAGTCTGGGCCAGATCCTCAGGGGTTCACTGCCTAGGACTACCCCATGGCCCTGCCAGCACTGGGCTCCTATGACCCCCTCAGGGGAGCAGGGAACAAACAGCACCTCAAGCCCAGCACTAGAAAACCCCGTGGCTGCGCCCAGCAGGCTGCCAGGGTGCTCCCCAGGGAGCGCCTCCTGTCAGGGAAGTAGGAGGGAGCCCCAACCAGCACAGGATGCTGGCCTCCCCCACCAGGGCTGCTGAGGGGGAGGGTCAGACACGAACACCTGCCAGGACGAGGGGAGGCCTCAGGGCAGTCTTGCAGCCGAGCATGCTGAAGTCCTGCCCCGGGGGGCCTGGCGGGGTCCTCACGTTCCCCTGCAGCCCTGGCCCTCTGCATGCAGCCTGACTGTGTTTTTTGCCAGCCAAGCTTCACCCCAAAAGCAGGTGCCACCTGGGTGAACCCCAGAAAAGAGTGCCCCTGCAGAGCCACACTGCTCCCCACCAAGCTACAGGGTCGCCTGTAGGGGTCCACTCAGGACAGAAAAGCACCTTCTCTACCAGGGCTGTGGATTTCACAAGACAGGAAAGTGGACTGGGCCCTTCCTCCCCACACATGTGGACCCTGGAGTCTTGGGGAGCGGAAGTTGCCCCCAAGGAGTTGAGGGGTTCCAAGGGGCCCTAGACACCAGCTCAGTAGCACTGACTGAGGGCTCAGCTTCAGGCTGGTGGGACAGCAGGCAGGACTCCAGGGACACTGATGCCATTGCTGCCCACCCGTCCCACCCATCCAGCCTGCTCTGGGTCACTGGTTGTCCACTGCAGGGACCTCTGTTCTCACCATGGGGACCCCAGCTATGCCTGAGAGCCAGAGGCCCTCAGCACCTTCCCTCCAGCTAGTGCCTGTTCATGTTCCGGCTGGCCCTGCCCTCCCTGATCCAGGCAAGGATGCCCTTCTGGGTGGCTGTCTGCCCATGGTGACCTCCCTGGACCCTGTTCTCTGCAGGGCTCCACTGAGCAAACTGGGTCCCTCCGAGGCTGCCTGAGTCAGGCCCAGCCCTGTGCTGGCCTTGGTGCCCCTCTCGCAGCCTGGCAGTGCCTGCCAGCCCCCCCACTAGGACACAGCCCAGTGCCTCTGAGGACAGAGACCCCATGCTCCAGGCAGTACGGGGCCTGGCATGAGCACTGAGGAAGTGTGGGGCTCCCAGAATGGGGCCAAGTCCTAGGCAGGAAGCGATTCTGCCCACAAAAGCAGCTGCCCCTCCCTGGGAGCCGGCAGACACCCGGCGCCTGCATGCGCCCCTGCCCAGCGTGCCCTGCAGACCCGGGTAGCTCCAAGGCACCTGTCCCCAGACAGCTGCAGCCTGTGGCTTTGCCCCTGATGGCTCCCGGCAGCCGGGGGCTGCTTGCTGACTTCCTCACTGGAGGTGCTAGCCAGGGCCGGGGCTGTGGGGGGCACTATGCCGGTTCCTGGAGGTCTGTGCCCCCAGACAGGGTCAGCACTACTTTCTGGGGATACAATGGTGGGACACTGCCGGTCAGCCAACCCAGCCCCAGCCCCAGCCCCCACACAGGCCGAGCTCCTGTGTTGAGCTGCACAGTGGCACAACATGGTCCCCAGTAAGGATGATGGCTTTCTGGGGTGCTCTTGCCGCAACACGGGAGGCTCTGCACACTGCCTCTCAGTGACCCGCTGCCCAAGCCCCTCTTCTGGACAGGCAGCTGCTGGCTCCAGGGGTTCCATGGAGTGGGCACCTTCCTGGCCGCCTGGGGCTCTGCAGCAGAGCAGGGTCCCTGTCCCAGGACTAGGCTGGAGGCGCTCTGGCTCTCCGGTTACGGCCGGGCTGGGTTTCAGGGCTCCGCTGCCGCCGCTGGGCTATTTCAGGCAAGCTGGCGCCCTCGGCTGCGTCGGGGGTCGGAGGGGCTGGAGGGGGACCCGCCCCCCACACCCTCACAGCTCCACTGCCTGCCCAGCACTCACCTGCCACCGGTGACGGCTTACGCAGTACGAGCCACCTACTCTTCCACTGCGGGGACAAGACAGCATGAGCAGCCGCCCCGCGCGCCCCCGCCCCGCACCCCCGCCGCGCCCCGACCTTCTTGCCGTCCCGCAGCTTGACCTGGCCCTCCACCAGCGCCGCCTCGGTCATCTTCTGTCATGGTTCCCACCACGCCTGCCGCCACCGCGCCCTCACCCTGCGCCCCAGGCGCCTGAGCCCAGGGTCACTTTCAAAATAGCTGGGAGGGCCCTGGGTTGGGCCAGGAGGGCGGGCCAAAGTGGCGGGCGGGGACTAGGGACCTGGCCAGTGGCGGGGAGGGGCAGGTCTGCAGGCCAGCCCAGCGTCCAGGTGGGACCTGCAGGCACGTGGGCACTCCTCCATACCTGCCCTCCATGCCCCCATCCATGCCTGGCAGTGCGTGTGGTGTGGCCACCTGAAGCTGCTGCAGTCAGGGGCTCAGACCTGGCAGACATCATGGGGGTGAGGCAGGCAGGCGGGCCTTCCTTCCAAAGGCAAATTGACAAAAGGGACAATGCTTGAGGCCAAGTTTGTGTCCTGTCCTCAACCTCCCTTGGTGCCTGCCCCTCCCCCACATCACGGAGGAGGCGGGTAGTGTGACTGTAGGCAGCCCTGGCCCAGGATGTGTCCCTGGCCTCCTCCACTGCTCAGGCAGGAGTGGGGCCACAGGGCGCACTGGTGACCTGCCCCCCACTCCCATCCCATTCACCCCTGGGCTCTGTCAGTGAGGACCATGGGTGCATGGCGCAGGACTGGAACCCGTGTGCCACCCTGGTGCCCGGGCCTCTCTGCTCAGCCTTCTCCAGCCCCTGGCCTGGAGCCACCTTGACTTCTCTGAGATGCTGCTGCTTCCCAAAATCTCAGCAGGGCTGGCCCTGGGTGGCCCCTCTGAGCCATGACCCCTCATCCTTCTCCGGATAGCCCTGCCAGCCGCCAGAAGGCGCCTGACAGGTCTACACCACAGGTACCTCATATCTGAAGAGCCCCTCAGGACCCAGGAAGTGGAGCACCTGCGTTGGCTGGGGACAGGGGTGCAGGTGGAGGTGATGTGCACTAGGACAGTCTCCTGTCCACACTCAGCCTTGGGCCTTCCTGGAGCAGCGCTTCAGGCGGGGACGGCGAGGGCTGGCCGCACCTACCGATGGCATGCGTTCCAGGCTTGCTCCACGCTGTCAGACCTCGAGCTCCAGGTGCCCCGCCCAGAGCAGAGGCTGAGGCCCAGAGTGGTACAGATGCGGCCCGGGCCAGCCGCCATTGCTGATGCCCGAGCAGGGCCAGCCCTGGAGCCCCTCCCCACCACCCAAGTGGCCACAGTTGATTCTGATGTCCCTGGATGGGGCAGAGAGCAGCAGGCACAGGAGGACGCCCGTGTGCTCCTGCTTATCAAGTGTGGGATGTTTATTCCCAGCACCCTGCCCAATGGCTGCTACCTCAGAGCCCAGCAACAGCCACTGGGAGTGGGTGGAATGGGGGGCTGTTGCCACAGACACATCCGCTGCCCAGGACTCCTGGCACGCACTGGTCCCCTAGGGAGGGGCAGGGCCCTGTGCATTCCCGGGCGCTGGCCCTGGTCCAGGCCTCGCCACACCCAGCTCTGCACCTGCACCTGCCTTGGCCTGGAAGCGCAGGCACTGCAGGGGCACACACTCCTTCCACCCCATGGCCAGACCCTCTGCAGTTGCCAGGGCTGTGGACAGTAGGGGCAGCAGCCTTCGAGGAGGAAGAGGTGGGCTGGCTCCCCTGTGACCTCGGATCGTCTCCTCCTACTAGTGCCTCCGTTTCCCCAGGTGTTACAACCGGTGTTCCTAGTTGTCAGTGGCGAAAGGCTCTGCCCCTGGAAGCAGGAAGGAGTTCACTGGAAGGAGGCTGGGCCTCTCCAGGAACCGAGTGATAGCTGGAGAGCTGGGCCTGCTGCGACAGTCCCTCCGGCCACAGGATGGCCCAGCCGGTAGCTCTGGACACTGAACACCACACTGTGGCCTGAGTCGCTGCCTGAGCTCACAGCATGGCTCTGTAGTGACGCCGTGGGCGGGGGGCACCCCAGGACCCTGCAGCCACGGGACCCTGCCTCGGCCTCGGCGCTACAGCCAGAGACACTGCCCTGTTGCTGTTGGGGGTTCTTCTCAGCTTCCTCAAGCTGCTGCCATGAGCTCTGAGTGAGTTAATGTGCGAGAGTCTCACTTTCTAATATTTGGCTTTTTGAGACGGGGTCTCACTGTGTAGTACAGGTTGGCCTGGAATTCACATGGTCCTCCTGGCTCAGCCTCTCAAGTACAGGGGTTACAGGTGTGTGCACCATGCCTGGATCTTTCTTATTTTCATTTTAATGAGAAAAAAAGATAAAATAGCAGTGAAACAGTTGCAAAACAGGTTAGTGAGACAGTTACAATAATTAATACGTTGCATATTGTTGTCTTCGTAGTAGTTATTCAGAGGACAAGATGCAGACATGACATCTTGTCTAAACAATATTAGTACAAACCTTTCTTCTTAATGAACAGCTCTTTCAAAAGAATCAGCTTTACACACTGGGGGAGGAGGGTTTCCTGACCTGGCAGCAGCAGGTGGCCGGGTGAGCTGGACAGAAAGGCCCTCTGGCTGCCCATGGCCCATTCAGGCTCCCTGCATTCCCTTGGCTAGGACGGGAGTGACAGCCACTGGGTCCCCCGGGCCACCCCACATCTAAACTCACAGGTCACAGGGCAGGACAAGGAGCCGAGGCTCAGCAGGGCCCACAGTGCGACTGTGACACGAGAGGAGGTGGTGGAGGGCGTGGGAGTCAGGTGTGGCCCCGTGTCCTCAGGGGAGGACAGAACGTCAGAGCGCACACTCCCCATGCACACAGCAAGGAAGGCTCCTGTACGTGGACGGAGACGGTGGCCAGCCTCCTGCACCCAGGGACAGCATGTTTCTGTCACCGTCGTGATGTTCCAGTGTGGCCACTGCTACAGTTGTGACACAGAGCAGAGCATGCTGAAGCTTGGCCACCAGTCCTTGGGCTACTGGGGGAGGAACCTTTAGGAGATGGCCTTGCTGGGAGGTCCTTAGGGCCCTGCGCGTGGCTTCAGGGCACAACAGGACCTCTGCCACTGCCGCTCTCTGCCTCTCCCTGCAGTACTGAGGGTTGAACCCAGGAGCTATGCACTAAGTGCATCCCCAGACCTTTTGTGTGTGTGAATTTAGGATCTACAGGGTCTCACTACATAGACTGGACTTGCAGTGATCCTCCCATTTTTCAGCCTCCCAAGCGCTGGGTTTACAGGCATGCACCACCATGCCCAGTCTCAGTCGCCACCTCAGCACCCCACAGGCGGGGCTGGCACAGCCCACCAGGGATCGAACCCCCGCCACTGCACTCTGCCAAAGCAGGCGCTTTAGTCTGCTGAGCTATCTGGCACATCCCCCAGAACTTTTAATTTTTAATTTTCAGACAAATTCTCATTAATTTATTAAATTGGCAAGGCTGGGCTAGCACTTGCTGCCTTGCTGCTTCAGTTTCCCAGAGTGCTGTCTCTCCCCAACTTCCTGGCCATGCCGCCCATCCTCCCACTTCTGTCTCAATCGGCCACAGGCTAAGACCTCCAAAGCCACGAGCCACATCACCTTCTCCTCTCTGCAAGATGGTTTGTCTCAGGCTACACCTGTGACTTTGACCATCCAATGCCGACTAAGACCACTGTGGCATTGGTGGCTTTAGAAGGAGAGGAGAGTCCCAGGTGGGCAGCTGGCTCTGTCTCTTGTGAGGCCCTGCACAAGTAATGATGTGGTATGAGGCCACTCAGATGCCCAGAAGGCGCGGGCACTGACGCACAGGCCTACAGACCCGTGAGCTGCACAAATCTGTCACTGGAACACAAGCTCTGAAACCCTCAGCTTAAAGGCGAGAAGATATAATTTAGGTCCCAGTTTCATAGGTTCAGTCCATGGTCAGCTGCTCCAAGGCAGGACAGCAAGCAGAAGGGCTGTGGTGGCTCAAGATGTTTGATTCCCAGGGTCAGAGAACAGAGCAGGGGAACAGCACCAGACAGGAAGGGCCAGGGACCAACCCCAGATCCCACAGCCATGCCTCCATGAGCACCCAAACACACCCAGGGGTTCACAGACCATAATTAACAGCCATAACCTTTACTCCCTATAAATTATCTGACCTCAGGTAACTTGTTATAGTAACAAAAAATAAACCAAGAGGACCATAACATTATTCCAATAAATGGGAAAAGTGTTCGTAAAAGTGTAACTTCATATAAGTAGTTTAAGAAGAAATAAAGTCCTCAACCAGTCTCGTGATCAGTTAAGCCCCCAAGTGAGTATCCAGGACCTTTCTGTAGAGAAGACATGAAGTCGGGTGGCCACCAGAGAATTCAGCCGAACTTCTCAGCGCCTGCGCCCTCCACAGCTTGCTTACCCTCCAGGAGCGGTGATGCAATGGAGGGTGCCTGGCCGTCACGCTAGCCCCGCCTGCAGCCACCCAAACACGAGAAGAGATTAAGGGCCAGACCCAAAACCATAAACATGAAATCCTAAACGAAATACAAATCAATCAAAAAGGGCAACAAAACAAAAAAGCAGTTGTCCACCGGGCCCAACGGCTGGCCATGCGGAGGGCCAGTGAGAGAGGCTTGGACAGGCGTGACAGGGACGGCCTGGGAGCGCTGGCTGGGTCAACAGGGGCTGTGCCTCCCGGTTTCAGGTGGGGCATTGCAGCCGCAGAGGGAGAAGCGCAGGACGTGCTCACTGCGGGGAGGGGGCCCCTCCAGGGGCTGCCTGGGCTGTGACGTGGTGTGGGGTGGGATGGGGGCCTCCCTGGGGCCTCTGTCAGCTCTGGGACCCAGGCCCCAGGGTGTGGGTCAGACCTGGGCTCACAGTGCCCCGGAGCCTGCTCGTCCTACAGCGGTCGCCTGGCCCGCGCACTTCCACCCCGTGCCCTACCCCACCCTCCTCTGAGGCCAGCTGTGTATGTGGCCACTTGTGCTGGGAAGGTGTCCAGGAAGGCCATGTTCACTCCACAGGTCAGCAGATGACACTGGGCACTGCGTTCCCCACGAAGGCCGCTATGCCACCCACCACACAAGCCAGCTCTGAGCAACTCCACTCAGAGGACAGGGCGCACAGGTGCAGGCCCAGCGCGTCCTTCTGCCCTGTGCCTGCACACCTGGCAGAGCAGGCTTGGTGAGACATGAGCCAGTGGCATGTCACAGAGCAGAAGGGACCCCCAGAACTTGGGTCCAGGGGACCCTGGACCAGCACCTGGGCAGCTTCATGGAGAGTAGAGGGGGCCAGGCTGGCGGCAGGGGTGCAGGTGCTACACACAGCTCAGAGTAGCTGGGGGCAGCGCGTGGAACATCACTGGCATGGGCCCCAGCAGGTGAGGCTGGGCAGGGAGAGTGGAGGCGCCTGTCCAGGACAGGCCCCGGACTTGGTGCCATTGGCTGCCCCTCCCCGAGCACTGCCCGACAGCCCTCCCTACCCTGCAGCTCTCAAGGCTGCCAGTGCTGGGCACTGTAGGGACTGCCTACTGCTGCCTGTGATCCACGTGCCTGTCACGCAAGTAGCCTGGTGACCCTAGTGACTCCCCCACACTGGGATCAGGGGACTGGGGAAGATCCAGACTCACAGCCGGGCCGATGGCCAGCGCATCCCCCATATCCACCTCCCCTGTGCCAACCAGGCCAGCAGGACCCACCGCCGTCACACCCCTCCGTGCAGCCCCACTCCCCAGTCCCCTCCGAGGAGTCCTTGCAGAGTACGGCTGCCCCGTGAAGCCAAACGACCCCAGCGGTTCCCAGACGACCTGTGTTCTTTCAGGGTCAGCGTTTCCCACATGACTCACTGGGGATCCAGATGGGGACAGCTCGGGGTATGCATTCTGCCACTACCTGGCGGGGTGGCCCTGGAGGCACCTGGCCTCCATCCTTTGCCCGAACCCTGGGCCTTGGGGCTGGACCCTGTGTGTGGCGCAGGTCCTTATCGAGCTGAGCAGCTCAGGCCATGGTGGCCTGGGAGGCAGGACACAGCAGCACGGCGGGGTCTTGGAGCCATCTTTATTGTCCTCTAGGCAAGCAATGGTGAGAAAGCAGGACAGCCCCTGCCCAGGGCCTATGAGGGGGGCATGGGCCGCTTAGCTGGCCGTATGCGATCACTGATCCAGCCCACATAGTTGGCCACACGAGTGTAGACACCTGGCTTGTTGAGACGCCCGCAGCCATCACCCCAGCTAATGATGCCGTACAGGTAGGCCACTCCGTTCTTCTCGCAGGCCAGGGGCCCACCTGAGTCCCCCTGGGGAGAGACAAGGCTCAGGGCCACCTGCTCCAGCCTGGCTGTGCTCTGAGCCCTGGCACAGGGCGTTTTCAGGATGGTGTTCCAACAGCACGGGGCAGGGATACCCTGGGCAGTGAGTGTGCAGCGCCACTGGCCCCTCTCCCACCTCCACCCCACCTGGCTCTCTCCCCATGGCCCAGTGTGCTTCTGGGCTTGGACCCTCTCTGGCCACCAGTGTGATCCCTAGGGGCCATGCAGCCACGCTGCACCCCGGCACAGCTGGGCCACTTCCTGGCCTGCCCTCTTGGCTGTTGAAAGCTTGCCTCTCTCAGGTCCAGGTGCAGGCCTGTGCCCTCCACACTGTCCCACCCTTCCTGAGCACATAGGGGCAGCGAGGCCCTGCCCACTGGCTCCAGTCTGAGCAGTTGGAAGAGGGCTTGGACCTTGTTGGGACTCAGTTTCCCACCTATAAAGTGGGGCACAAAGCAGCCCCTCTACATTGCTGTGCGGTGTGCAGCCCTGGGAATGACTCAGTTGACTGGCTGATTGGTTGAGAGGAATCCAGGTCAAAGGGTGTGGCCTTTGGTGCTAGCTGTCACTTGGCCCTTACTGAAGGTGGGATGTGTGTGACTTCTCTGTGCCTGGGCGCCCGTGTGGGGCTGCTGGAGACATTCCCAGCCCCTGGCACGACGGCCTGCCCACCCACCTGGCAGGCGTCAGACTTGCAGTCAAAGTAGCCAGCGCAGAGCATGTTGGGGCTGATGTCCGCGCCATACACCTCGGGGCTACTACACTTGTGGTCCGCTACGATGGGGACCAGAGCTTCCCGCAGGGAGCTGGCGTAGCCGCTCACCTCTGAGGGACACGAGCAGCGCTTTCTCAGGGCAGGAGCTCAGGGGACGGGGCTCCGCTGCCCACCCAGGCCAGCCACCCACTCACGCTCGTCCATGTGACCCCAGCCTGAGATCTGGCACTTGTGCCCCGCGGGGAAGGAGCTGCCAGGCTCGGGCAGGCAGATGGGCTGCACGAACTGGGAGCGCACAGCACAGCGGTCCCCCTTCTTCCTCAGCCGGATCAGGACTAGGGCGAGGTCAGGTCAGACTGGGCCGTGCGGCCCGCGCAGATCCCCCCATGTGGGGGTACCCTGCTGCTGCCCCAGGCCCCATTTACCAATGGATCCCCAGCTCACCCAGGTCGTGGTCACTGGGGCGGAACACGGAGTACAGTGGGTAGGGGATGTATTTCTCAATGGCGAGTGTCTGTGTCACATCTGTGCTGTGGTTGAAGATGTGCTGGCCCAGCACCACTGAGATGCTGTCCCTGGGGGGGCTGCAGGGCAGGGCGGGTGGAAGCACAGGCCTGGCCCTCTCCTGGGGTGCCCGCCAGCCCTCCTCATGCCAGCTGTGGCTTCCTCCTACAGCCCCTCATGCCTGTAGCGCGGCCCCTGGGCAGCCCCTCTGTCCCCATCAATGCCTCAGTTTCTCTCTGCAGGGCAGGGCTTGAGCCCAGCGGGGCAGAGCAGGAGCAGGGGACAGAGAAAGGGGAGCAGCTTCCTGGCTGTCCCTTTGGGTCAGAGCCCTGACCAGCTGTGGTGTGAGGGCTGAGAGAAGTGGCTGGCAGCTCACCCACTGGTCTGAATCTCAGGGTAGTGGGGTGTCTCAACCCTCGGAACTAGGAGCTGAGTGTCTCAGTCTCCCCGGCGGTACAGCAGCGGGAGTGGGTGACTCTCACACATGCTGTCACCCAGCACGGAGGCTCTGGTGTGCAGACCACTAGCCCAGGCAGCCCCGTGTCCCAGGGATCCCGGGGTACCCTGTGGTCGAGCAGGACGCATGTGGTGCAACCCCGAACTAGAGGTGGGGCCCAGGGTGACGGCAGAGTGGGCTAGGTGATGGGACAGCGGGTTGGGTGATGGGACAGCGGGCTGAGTGATGGGACAGTGGGCTGGGTGATGGGACAGCGGGCTGGGTGATGGGACAGCGGGCTGGGTGACGGGACAGTGGGCTGGGTGACGGCAGAGTGGGCTGGGTGATGGGACAGTGGGCTGGGTGACGGGACAGTGGGCTGGGTGATGGGACAGTGGGCTGGGTGATGGGACAGTGGGCTGGGTGATGGGACAGCGGGCTGGGTGATGGGACAGTGGGCTGGGTGATGGGACAGCGGGCTGGGTGATGGGACAGTGGGCTGGGTGACGGGACAGTGGGCTGGGTGATGGAACAGTGGGCTGGGTGACAGCAGAGTGGGCTGGGTGATGGGACAGTGGGCTGGGTGA